AATTAGATGAACTATACTTCATCTGCCCCATGTGTCTTGGGCACGAACGGGCCTCAGAAGAAGAAGACACGGTCATCCAAATAAGGTCAGCTAGACAAGGCTATCTTTTGAAAGCAAAGTTATAGAGGTCTGTGAAGGTGTTCGTTTTCACACCTTTTCGTGGTTTCCATAGTAACCAGAACTGCTATAGGCAGCTATATACTAATTTTGTCTATACGTTAACAACCATTAACATAAATTATGACTTTATGAAACACCCAGAAACATGTTGAACATTGTTGTATCCGTAAGTGAGAAACTCGGGTAAATATACTACATACACACACGACAAATTGCAGGTGTACAAGGAATGTGTACTTACATGTTATTTACACAGTAATTGCATTTATTGTAATGTTACCTGCAGCCGCAGTGAGTACTTGGGTGACGTGCAGTACCCGTCCGTGGCCTGGATTTGGAGGTCAGTGACCCTCAGTGCCAGATTCTCGAAATCCAGGGGTTTCTGAATATCGATGTTTCCGTTGGAAGCTGGTGACGTAAGAGAACAGAGTAAATGTCATTGTCTTCTTGCTTCGTTGTAAGAGTTTGTTTATAAATTAATATTATTTTGCTGTGCGCTGCTCTAAATATATAGAACCTTTCTCAGAGGCGAAGCGAGGTCGGCTGTTACCCGGTGCGGCATTTAATGGTGTCACCCCCCCCCAGAGGCGTAACGACCCTTCCCGGGGACAAACTTTCAATTTTCGATTTGCACCCCTCCCCTCAAACTTTCGATTTGCAGCTTTTAAAAAAGACTATTTAAAACTCGAATTAATCACTTAATAAAGTGGAATTATCATTTTTCTCTATATATTTTGCTATTTTTGCCTTGGTGTCACCCCCCTAAATCGTGTCACCCGGTGCGGTCCGCACCCCCTGCACCCCCAAGCTACGCCACTGACCCTTCTAATCCTAGTGGTCCATATAGCAGATGAAGTTGTTATTTTTCTGATATCGGCGTATGAAGAAATATAATAGCCAGCACTACGCCTAACCGACTTTACGTCCCCTTTCGTGTGTTAGGTACATTATAGGTGTAATACGGACTCGAACCCAGGATCTGGTCTGCTCTACCATCCAACCACTCCGCTCCAGTCAGTTATATGTAAATAATGTGTGTATGTGTGTGTTCAATCAGAGACGTTCTACTAAACAGAACTCTAATACAGATCATATAGCTGATATAGTTATCGCACTCTAACTCTAAAACAAACCGTTCAAATTCACTTAGCAGGCTACTTGAAAGTCACGGACATTTCCGCGTCATGATACAACGATGTTGAAAGTCATGGACATTACCGCGTCATGATACAACGATGTTGAAAGTCATGGACATTACCGCGTCATGATACAACAATGACCCATTCAAGGCGCCATAGGACAAAGTCCAACTAACTGGTTTATGAAGACACTAAAGTTCATCACTCGATATTTGTCGGTAAGCTAGAACTAAATACTAGCATCTCACTCAACGGTCTTTGTAACAAAATATATTTCAATTCAATCTCAACCGCCATTTCGTCAAATACTCTCCAAAGACTTTGGAAACAACATGGGGTCAGCTAAACTCGAGTTCAAACCCCTGGCAGATGAGGCTCTATAGCTGGGGACAGCAACTCTTCTAGTAGAGACAACTGCAAAATCAAACAAAGGCTACCTTGTAGTTTGTTCTTGGTAAGACAAAGGCTATGGAAGCAAATCCAAAAAGAAAAGCAGGCTGAAATCAGAGTCAACGGCCTATACGGAACATTACAAGTAGACACATAATACGTAATTGAGTTGTAGGAAATCCCGTTCAAGATTACAATTAAGAACGAAAAAGAGGAGAAGAAAGATGTAACAAGAAGTGCCAAAGATCCAGACTTCCAACATCTATGTCCTAGGAACAAAAACTTACAGATAAAGTTGTACTGGGCCAAACCAGCGGCGTTTGATGACGTCACAGTGTACGTCAGTGGATCCCCGTTGCTGTCAATCATCCGGATAGTGTAGGCGGTGCCGGTGGAATCTTCTGGAATTTTAACGGTGGTATCCAGGTTGGCAGCCATTGGTGCTATGTTAGGGTCTTGTTTAGAGGAAGAGAAAACAAAATTTGACGTACGTTACTGATAGGATATTTTACTACCGGTATATGAGGCGATGGTGTGATCATTTTAAAGTTGTTTTACTGTGTTGAACGTGGTGACCAAGTACTGAATGAGTGAATGAGTGAATGAGTGAATGAGTGAATGAGTGAATGAGTGAATGAGTGAATGAGTGAATGAGTGAATGAGTGAATGAGTGAATGAGTGAATGAGTGAATGAGTGAATGGGTGAATGGGCGAATGAGCGAATGAGTGAATGACTGAATGACTGAATGGCTGAATGGCTGAATGGCTGAATGGCTGAATGGCTGAATGACTGAATGGCTGAATAACTGAATGACTGAATGACTGAATGACTGAATAACTGAATGACTGAATGACTGAATGGCTGAATGGCTGAATGGCTGCATGGCTGAATGGCTGAATGACTGAATGACTGAATGACTGAATGACTGAATGACTGAATGACTGACTGACTGAATGACTGAATGACTGAATGACTGAATGACTGAATGACTGAATGACTGAATGGCTGAATGACTGAATGGCTGAATGACTGAATGACCGAATGACCGAATGACCGAATGACCGAATGACCGAATGACTGAATGACTGAAAGTGGGAAGAACTGTATGGGGTAGCCCTATTGTTACGTTCTGGGTTCGTTTCAAATCATCAACAACACTTCGTGTATAACTTCACTCCTTTTATTTTCTCAATGCATTCAAGCGTACCATAACAGCCCTCGTCCTAACCGCTACTAACCCGCTGACTGCCCCCCACAATCGTTCACTCGCCCTTTTATACCCGCATTCGACCTTGGGACCACAAAACATAAACACACAAGGGTAACTACACAGTAGGGTGAACTCCACTCACACACGCTCTCTCCCCTAGTTCTAGACTATTCTGACCTATTCTAATCTAACCTACAACTGACCCGTAACACTACCCCCCACCTAAGTATTTGTAGTAATAACTACAAATACTGGCTACCAAAACCTAGCTAAATAAAAAACACAAAGCCTTTCATACACATACACTAGTTAAAAAATATACATACACAAAAAACATACACAAGTTAAAAATATACATTCCGAAGAATGTATATGACAGATTGTATATACAATGAAATACATAATGACAATATACAGAACTGCTACAATTTCTAGCTAGCACAAATCATTCGTGTAACTAACAAAAAAAAAAAATCATACACACCCAGTTGCATCGTACCGAATCTAAGAACTTTCCAGACCAAAATTTTTTTGAGTCTACCCTGTGCGCTCTCTGGCTACACTGGTTTATGACTCCTACCCATATCTCAACCATTCTACATCACAAAAAATTTGAGTCAACCTGCGCTCTATGGCTACACTGGTTTACGACTCCTACCCATATCTCAACCATTCTACATCACACAAAAAATTTGAGTCAACCTGCGCTCTATGGCTACACTGGTTTACGACTCCTACTCATATCTCAACCATTCTACATCACAAAAAATTTGAGTCAACCTGCGCTCTATGGCTACACTGGTTTACGACTCCTACCTATATCTCAACCACTCTACATCACAAAAAATTTGAGTCAACCTGCGCTCTATGGCTACACTGGTTTACGACTCCTACCTATATCTCAACCCTTCTACATCACTAAAAATTTGAGTCAACCTGCGCTCTATGGCTACACTGGTTTACGACTCCTACCTATATCTCAACCATTCTACATCACTAAAAATTTGAGTCTACCCTGTGCGCTCTATGGCTACACTGGTTTACGACTCCTACCTATATCTCAACCATTCTACATCACAAAAAATTTGAGTCAACCTGCGCTCTATGGCTACACTGGTTTACGACTCCTACCCATATCTCAACCATTCTACATCACAAAAAAAATTTGAGTCAACCTGCGCTCTATGGCTACACTGGTTTACGACTCCTACTCATATCTCAACCATTCTACATCACAAAAAATTTGCAACTCACAGTCGATGTTGTTACATACTCTGTCAAACAGCTATAGCGTCGGGCTAACGGCATCCCCACAGCATCCAACAAACGTCAGGACAGCAACCGGCAAACACCAGGACAGCAACCGGCAAACACCAGGACAGCAACCGGCAAACATCAGGACAGCAACCGGCAAACATCAGGACAGCAACCGTCAGACATCAGGACAGCAACCGGCAAACATCAGGACAGCAACCAACAAACATCAGGACAGCAACCGGCAAACATCAGGACAGCAACCGGAAAACATCAGGACAGCAACCGGCAAACATCAGGACAGCAACCGGCAAACATCAGGACAGCAACCGGCAAACATCAGGACAGCAACCGGCAAACATCAGGACAGCAACCGGCAAACATCAGGACAGCATCAGGCAAACGACAGGACAGCATCAGGCAAACGACAGGACAGCATCAGGCAAACATCAGGACAGCATCAGGCAAACGACAGGACAGCATCAAGTTTATGCTTCTACTTGATTTATACTGGCCACCAGTTGTTACGTTCTGGGTTCGTTTCAAATCATCAACAACACTTCGTGTATAACTTCACTCCTTTTATTTTCTCAATGCATTCAAGCGTACCATAACAGCCCTCGTCCTAACCGCTACTAACCCGCTGACTGCCCCCCACAATCGTTCACTCGCCCTTTTATACCCGCATTCGACCTTGGGACCACAAAACATAAACACACAAGGGTAACTACACAGTAGGGTGAACTCCACTCACACACGCTCTCTCCCCTAGTTCTAGACTATTCTGACCTATTCTAATCTAACCTACAACTGACCCGTAACACCTATGTGTCTGGGGTACTACAGGGAAAAAAAGATGATGACGATGTCAATAGGTAGTAATTAATTAATTACTTTTGATTGCCATGACAATCACCATCGGCGCTGCTGTGATGTTGCCGTCGCTAATGGTGACGCGGAATGTGACGTCACCGTTACATTCAGCCTTGAGGGGAACTGTGGTTGATATCTTGCCAGTGGCTGAGAGGGAAAGGTAATGTGGAAGTGTAAGCGTTGTGTAAGATACATTATGAAAGTAAATGCGTCTACCCCCCTTCTAGATTTGACGCTCTATATATAGCAGATGAAGTAGAGTTCATCTATTTCTCTGGCCAGGGTACATGATGTGGTTGCGTGGGTCGCGGTATGCCAAACCGACTTTAGTCTCCCCAGACTAAGATCAGGTAACCCTTATCAGTTGTGTGGATTCAGGCACCTAATAAGGAACCAAGGAGTCGGCGTGGTCGAGTCGGGGTGAGAACCCAGACTTTTCTATTTTCTTGCCCACTGTTTACTTTGGGTGGGGGGGGGGGGTGAGGCAGTGAACCAAACGGAACTATTTTAAAAAGATATAACAACTAAATAGGAACTATAAATTTTTAAAAGTAAAAGTTTCCCTTTCAAACTTGACGGCCTATGGGGCAAGTGAAGTAGAGTTCACTTGTTTCTGTGGCCTCGGCATATGAAGAGATAGTGTGGTCAGCACTATGCCCAGCCGCCTTTACTTTCCCAAACGTGAGTTAGCTACCCATCAGTTGGGAGGACTCAGGGACATTCTACTGACTTGAACCGGATTCGAACTCGAGACTTACGGGTTAGCAGTCCAGCTCTCTACCGCTAGACCACTCCGTCTTTTAACCTGTCTTATTATTATTAATCGCCCCCCCCCCCCTCCCCTCCCCGTAGGCGTTTTCAAACTGCCTCAGAAAAAGTCAGAGAAAAACTCTGTTCTAACCTATTATATCCTCAATTCTGCGCAAAATCACTTGGATTCGCATCAAAGTAAGTTTATCGATTTTCAATTAATAAAACAATATTATATAGTTTTTAAACCTCTGTCTATTTTATAATGACTTGCAGACGATTGTGGCAGGACCTCAAGGCTGTATATGACGTCATCGCCGTCGTCATCTTTAGCGTCGACGTCATAGACCACCTGACCAGCCGGCGCGCCAGAATCCATGAGGTCATAAACTATAAATAGAAACTTAATGTCTTAATCTAAAATTAGAAACATGAGGTCATAAACTATAAAAAGAATGATGATGACTTAATTAAAAATAGAAACAGGAATTCATCAACTAAAAATAAACAAGAGGTCATAAGCAAAAAATAGAAACAGGAGTTTGTAAACTTAAAAAAAAAAACGTTTTTCCCGTGAAAAGAATCAAAGGCTTGCCATCATGATTGCGATATTATGCATCTCATTATTTAATTAAAATAAATGAACACGTACCGTATTGATAGTCTTCTGGGATGAAGTACGGGGGTGAGTTGGGTATGACCTTGACCTCGATGACCTCTGTGACCGGCGTCTCCTTGTTGTCCGTGCACGAGACGGTGACCAGGTAATATTGTGCCGAGGTGTAGTCCAGGGTTCCAACCCCAGCTCGGTACTGTAGACATGAGGCTGGTGGGGGTAGGGGTGGAGGAGATTGCATAGGTTTAGCAAGTAAATATTGTTTACTATGTGGTATAGACACAAATATTATCACTAAAGAAATGTAAATTTAGCAATTCTGAACTTTTGTTAACATTCAATAAATAGATGAAACGTAACATTATATGTATTTTCAGCATTCAGATTTAATCTGATATTTTTATTGATTTAATTTTTAGAACAAAACATAATTAAATATACTCAGGTAAAAAGCAAATACAAATTTATATTATCTGGATAACGTCCATTGAATCATTGTGTTCAGTTGTAGAAATATTTTAGGGGTTTTTTATTTTAATTTTTTGTGATAAGTTATTTTAGGTAACTATAATAAACTAGAATAAACCAATATTAAACTCTTAAATTGACGTAACTAGAAATGAAACCAGTTTTTACATACCACATATTACCAGACTTACCTTCTGCACAGTAAAACTTACATTCAGTGGCGTAGCGAGGTCGGGTGTCACTCGGTGCGGCACTTAATGGTGTCACCCCCCCCCCCCCCCCACCCCAGAGGCATAGCGACTCTTCCAGGGGACAAACTTTAAATTTTGGATTTGCAACCCCCCATCGAACTTTCGATTTGCACCCCTCCCCTCAAACTTTCGATTTGCACCCCCCCCCCCCCTCGCTCATTTTTTTTCTACATATTTGTACTATTTTTCGCCTTCGTGTCACCCCATTAAAATGGTGTCACCCCGTGCGGTCCGCACCCCTTGCACCCCCCCCCTCGCTACGCCTCTTCTTATATTTATTACATACCAACACTCATATTCCCCCTCCCCCAAAAACACACATAAACAAAACATTTCATCTCCACCCCTTATACACATTGAGACACTTCCAAAGCAATTATGTGATACCGGTGATATATTTTGTAAGAGGAGTAATAAAGCATCTACACACTAAGACTCAGTGCCCCACCACCCCACTCTACGCTAACTCACACAGACACACACAGACAGTGGCGTAGGCAGAAGGGGTTAGGGGGTCATAACCCCCCCATAGACCCCTCGGTATATATATATATATATATAAAGTGAGGGGGGGGTGCAAATCGAAAGTTTGAGGGGGGGGGGGGGGAAGGTGCAAATCGAAAGTTTGTCTCCGGGTAAAAAATGGGACCCCCCCCCCCCCCCTTGAGACGATCCTGGCTACGCCACTGCACAGAGACACACACATACGCTAACACACCCACACACCCACACACACACTCCCAAACACAACACTCACCAGCCCCACAGGACAAGACCTCGAAACACTTAGAACATGGACTTGACGGCGTCATTGACTTGACAGACATTGTCGTCAGGTCTCCGTCGCTGTCGGTGCACGTCAAGCTAGAGAGAATTTCATTGGTTTTCGTTCCTTCATTCACCATGGCAACCTTGGTAAACTTCCGGTCAATGACAAGCTGAAAGAAGCAATGTGCTACAACACGAAAAGTTTGACTACTTTATAACTTACAAAATTCCGTGAGACGGACTGGCCGAGGGATAGTGATCGCTACTGCGATAACCAAAGGGGCTGAGTACGGATCCAAAATTGTTACGAGTTGTAACCTCAATTTACAGTACACCAGTACACAGAATCTACTGAATGTTATCATGTCTATTTTTTTCACAAGGTTGTACATGCACAGAAGATGGGAAATAAACCTGACATTGTTTTCTTTAAAAAAAAAGTAGTTTAGTAAAAACGTTGGTCATATAATAAGTCAAACATAACGTGAACAGTGTTTCTTCCAGACTTTTTTCTCCGGGGGGGCACTTGAAATTTTCGGGGGGGTGGCGGTAGACTTTCTTCGGGGGGGGGGGGGGGGGGCGGACACTGTTAAAAGTATATATTTTCTATATAAATTATATAAATTTCATTTCGTTCGGGGGGGCGGTAAAAATTTTTCGGGGGGCCGAAGAGATGCCTGGAAGAAACTCTGAACGTGAAGGACTGAGTTATTCGATGATGATCTAACAATCTTTTAGTGAAACATTCTGGTAGAAGGCGTATAACCAGAGTTTCTTCCAGGCATCTCTCCACCCCGAAAAGTTTTTACCGCCCCCCCCCCCCCCGAATGAAATGAAATTTATATAATTTATATAGAAAATATATACTTTTAACAGTGTCCGCCTCCCCCCCCCGAAGAAAGTCTACAAAGTCTACCGCCCCCCCCCCCCCCCCCCCCGAAAATTTCCAGTGCCCCCCCCCCCCCCCCCCCGGAGAAAAAAGTCTGGAAGAAACACTGCGTATAATGTTGTCAGCGGATGCCCACTTTTGAATAGTTTAAACGCATATATATATATACATATATATATATATATATATATATATATATATATATATATATATATATATATATATATATTGACAGCAAACCCCATACACACATTCATACAAACAGAAAATGTAGCTTTTAAAAAAGTTGTATTTAAATTAACTAACATACTGTACTATTCATTCTAACGTAGTAAAACTTTAAGAATATGGTTTTTCTTGCCAGAATCATCAACTACAATATGTGTATCTTAAAATAAATATATAATATTCTTAAGTGCGCTGTGCTTTGACAACAGGGGCTTTAGCCTATAGTCGAAACATATGTGGTAAAGACACACAGTTAAATTATATTGAATAATACAATATTTAAACAAAAATTAAAATAATAACATGAACTATTATTAATAAAAAAATAATTTTGAAATGATGATTAGTGTATATATAAAGAATATTAATTTTTTCAGGAAATTTACATTTAGATGTACGCAATTACGTAACAAATCCCCTTAGATACATTAACACGTGTTTAGTTAGAATAACGCAACAACAGGCCAAGAACGACAACCTACTGTAGCCAGACATAACTCCGTGAAAGCCAAGACGAAGCACACAATCAGCCGATGTTCAATCACCATTGTGATATGCAGAATCCTATATGGTTGCGATTTCATACCACAACTACCACATAAAACACCACTCGCGTCATATCTGTAAGGTATCATTCCATATCAACTTAAATTTATCTAGGAAGTTCTATTTTATCTTCGAATATCACATGCTAAATAACTACAATCTGAAGTTTGAAACAATTACGATGAATACAGGATGAAAAATAATACTTTGGAACATGATATTTTCAAAATCGATTATTGAAAGTTTCATTCAAATGCATGTGTACTAGTTCAGTCAGTTTAAAACAAAGCTAACACTGAAGCTTATGCGGATGATTGTAACTATCTTAAGTAATAAACTCTAAAAAGAGTGAGATTCACGCTAGAGTGAAATGGTATTTATTTTATTACAATTATTGCCTTTATAATATGCCTGCTGTCATACCGCCAATGGTTGTAATACCCAGCACTGAAATTTGAGATCATTTCACTTGACTCTTGTTTTCTTGAATAGTGAGGAGAGACCTCGAGAGTGTAATCTAACACCACTTGTGTTTTGTTGCTCTTAGACGCTGTGTATGTTTTCGCTTACACACCTGAAATACACACCCACGCCTTATACACGTCGAATTTATTCCGTTATATATACATATATACATATATCATATATAAATATATACATATATATATATATATATATATATATATATATATATATATATATATATAGGCCTGTATATATATATATATATATATATATATATATATATATATATATATATATATATATATATATATATATATATATATATATATATATACATGTGAATAGTGTAATTTTTCAACAAAATTATTAACCGTAATGTAAGAAGGTTAATTATTCCTATAGCTTACAAAACTTGACTTTAGACTAATTTCTTTTTTAAAATATCATCTATTTGGGGTTTTTATTTCAGTTCAATTCGTGATTAAATGTAGTTGATGTCGAATAAATACCACAAGCTAACTTGAACCGTATTGATAACCAAAGGGCACGTAACTCGTCTTGGGTTACTTTTATCTGTTGACCTGCCCTTGATTGATTACCCAAATATTTATCGCCTAGAATTACTGAGGCTGCGGTACTCCATGACTAAGGGGACATAACGTTAACAGTCAGTGAACTGACTTCATGCTTTTTATACTGTTTTCATGCTATGAGTATCAGTCTTTAAACAAATTTTAGAATTTTACAAAAAACACAATAAAGACAAAATATTTTGTTTTAAAATAATGATTTTTAAAAAATCAAATGTTCGCATACTAGGTAATATGGGATTGTTTAGACCTCGTAAAACTCCAACCAGTAGCTCTATCCAAAATTTAACTTTTTAATTTTTTTTTCTGAAAAAAAAAGCCAAACTGAACATGCAGATTTGGCTTGTCAGGGGCTATGGATTATTGATCTGGCTCAACCAATGTGGATGTCAAATACATCAGTTGTGCACACAGAGCTAATGGGCTGGCTATCATATTACATGCAAACCTGGAAGGCTATAGGGGTCTAATCCTATAAATTAGCATCATTAACTCCAGAAAGTTTAATTAGTACGGTCATAATCAGCCGAGATCCTGATTGTGTTAAGTGTATATATTTTTCTAGCTTGAAGGACACCACATGTCAAATGATTCCGTCTTTTATATAGCTAGATTCAATCGTTTTATTATTTTAATTTTATTCATGTTCATTTATTGTGGAACTGTTATATAGACTTTAAATTCTCAATGAGCTATATACCGTGCAATACATTAAAAATAAAAGAATTGAATTTTAAATGACACGTGAGAATAATCTCAAAAATTCTTATCGTTCAGACCTGGATTTCTATTTTTAGACGCTAGATTTTAATTGTATTAGACTCTTCAAGTGATTTATCGTGCAAATGTAACATTAAAATATTTCTCACTTTTTAAATTTGTATAAAATGAATATTTAATTCTCAAGGGGGATAATCGTGAAAAAGCGAGTCCTTCCTACTAAGTAGGTTTGTTTTCGGTAGGTTTGTTTTCGGACGAAAAAAAAATATACCACCGGTTTTTTTTTCAATATTTATAAGTGTGTTTGAAGTAATTA